CAGACACACAGACACACAGACACACAGACACACAGACACACAGACACCTCATTGAGGCCGTGAAACAGAAAGAGAGCCATGAAAGGCGCTATATCAATGCAACGTTCCTTGATGACAGAGATAAAATCTGAGAGAAAGGAGGGCACGTTCTCAGTGGAAGCTCCTGGGGTGTGGGGTCGAGTCAAATAAACCAGCAACTCAAACTCACCAGCCTGCAGTGCCCTCACCTTCATGGGTCAATTCTTAACATATAGATAAGCCCTCACCAGTTATTGAAAAAGGTGAAAATGAAGCCCACAAGATTACACTCAAAGAGCTGCCACACAGGGTTGCTCAGCCGGCTGGAGGTTTGTTCAAGATGACGATAGCATGGGTTCAATTCCTCCATTAGTTAAGGACTCCCTTTCTCAATCTCTGCCCTCGCCCAGGACATAACTGGGACGTTTTTTTTCCCCCCGTTTATTCATTCGAGGGATGAGGGCATCGCTGGCCAGGCAGCATTTATTGTGCATCCCTAATTGCCCAGAGGGCAGTTAAGAGACAACCATGTTGCTGTGGGTCTGGAGTCACATGTAGACCAGACCAGGTAAGGATGGCAAGATAACAAGGTGTAGAGCTGGATGAACACAGCAGGCCAAACAGCATCATAGGAGCAGGAAGGCTGACGTTTCGGGTCTAGACCCAAAAGAAGGGTCTAGGCCCGAAACATCAGCCTTCCTGCTCGGCCTGCTGTGTTCGTCCAGCTCTACACCTTGTTATCTCAGGTAACTGCTGTCCCATGATAGTGACTCACACACCAAACAGCCACCTTCACAGAACGAAATGCACACCTCCCATAAGCCCATCACAAGAAGCTTAATTGTGTGTTATTTAAATAGCCAATTAGTAAAAGAAAGAAGAGGCTCCAAAAAAGAGAGTTTGGCTCGCCAGAAAGGAAATGCGGAGGTGCCAGTGTTGGACTGGGGTGGACAAGGTCAAAAGTCACACGACACCAGGTTATAGTCCAACCGGTTTACTTGAAATCACAAGCTTTCAAAGTGCTGCCCCTTTGTCAGGTGAAGTGAGGAGAAGCAGACAGGCACAGACTATACAACCAGAGATCAAAAAGATCCTACAAATGGTGAGTGGAGTGTGGACCAGCTGAGTAATAGGTCTCTGCAGGTGACCGAGAGTGTCAGACGGTGTGAGTAAAGTGTTAATAGCTGAATAACAAGCAGAGGGATGACCTATAATCCAATTAATTACGTCTCTGCCTCAATGACAAAAAAAATTGAACATAAGGTGGTGCTGGAGACAAACCCAATGACTGGAATAACATGATAGATGTAAGAGTCACATGCTGAGGGTCTAACCAAAGTAATAAGTAATCCAAAACTGTACAAACTAATTAAGGCAGAGAGATCATAACAAGTTGTCAAGGTGATGGTGTCTTGGTAACAGAATGAGACAAACTCTAACAGAACCCATCCTTTCGGGGAGAAGGGGGGGGGGGGGGGGGGCGGTTAACAGGGAAAGGAGGGAAGCACCAGACACACCCAGGCCTTCCACCCAGGAATCTAGTCAGGGATATTTCAAAGGGGCACGTTCAGCAAGGTCAAGGCGAGTGAAGAACACAGGTAGCAACGACCCAGAAAACGTACCCTCCAGCTCCTACTGAATGGCCAACACAAGCCAGGCCTTAAATCTGAGATTTCATCCCTGCATTCCAACGCAGTCAGGGAAATGGGGTGGGAGACAAACTTCAAAAGGCACTTGGGAGCTGCAAGGCACAGTGAGTGGCCAGTTCCCAAGAAAGGTCATCAGGCCTACTCTGTGGGCCCCACATTCCAGGGTTTGTTCCTGTCAGCTGTGGTTGGTGGTACATTGGTTGGGGGCTGGGGAGGGAGGACATTGAACAGGATAGGGATGGACGTAGGATAAGAAAGCTCATCAATGCCTCTACTGTCTCAGGAGGCTAAGGAAATTCAGCATGTCCACAGTGACTCTCACCAATTTCTATGATGGCACCATAGAAAGCATCCTGTCTGGATGCATCACAGCTTTGTTATGGCAACTGCTGTACCCAAGGCCGCAAGAAATTACACAGTTGTAAATGCAGTCCAGTCCATCCCGAAAACCAGCCTTTCTTCCATTGACACCATCTATACTTCCCACCGCCTTCGGAAATCAGCCAACAGAATTAAATAAAGACCCCTCTCCTGCCAGTTATACTCTCTTTCATTGGGCGGAGGATACTAAGTGTGAAAACACATACCAACAGATTTGACTTATGAATGGACCTCTCGTATTAGAGTCAATCTTTCCCTGCATCACCCCTGTAGCTGTAACATGATATTCTGCATTCTGTTCTACTACCCTGATGTACTAATGTAAGGCATGATTTGCTTGGGTAGCACGCAAAACAATACTTTTCACTGTATCTCAGTACGTGACAATAAAATCAAACCAAACAAAAAATTACACCTAAAACATTCCCAAGGCTCCACACTCTCTGAAGGGAAGCACAGGGCAGAGGTGGAGATTCAGCAGGTAATATTGTTGGGATTACAATACTGTAGTCAGCATTGAGGAAGGCATTTTGGTCTTTAAAATAAAAAAAGGTTTCCATGGCAAGTACACACGACCCAAACCCCTCTGCCAAATCATCAGCCCTGACCCTACGGTAGCAGAGGATCCCTCCCTCCCTAACTCTCTGATAAATTGATGGCTGAGGTAGATAGACTCTTTAAGCGAAGACGTGGGCGGGAAGGTTCAGTACAGATAGGAATGTGGCTTTGAAGTTACAATCAGATCAGCCATGATCACATCGAAAGGGCTGAATGGCCTACTCTTGTTCCTAAGCCACATTGCTCACAAACTAGCCCATTCCCATTGGAGAAGCGCAGAGCTGTGGGAGGGTTTTTGTACAATGACAGGATCGGGAGTCCCTGTTTTAAACAGAGAGTTTGTCATCATGAGTTGCCATGGAGAGCACGCACAGAAACTTGTCTGTACACATCAAGGGCAGGGCCCGTCTCCGCTTTCCCAGAACTCAATTTGCTTCTGACACCGGAGGTTTGCGGCTTGATGAGATCACGTTGCTAGGATAAACATCTGAAGAACTTTTATTTTGGTGTAAGATGCAAAAAACAAAAAAAAAAAAAAAAAAGGTGCAGACTGAAGGCTGGGCAAACCTTGAAACAAAAAATGAAAAAAATCAGTGACCCTTCACAGACAGGAGCTCAGGGAGAACCATCTTGACCCAGTGATCAACTCGGTCTCACAGATTAGAAAGGAGATCACAATAGAATAAAACAGGAAAAAAAACCAATATCACCATCTCCCCGCTCCCCGTGGTGGAATATCTCAGTGACAACTTATCATTAGTTATGTGCAGACAGGTTAAAAGGATACATTTCTGGAAACTTGAACACAGGGACACTACCACGCTGCAGAAGGTTTGTACGCAGGTGCACCAAATATTCAGCAAAGCCAACATGAAATTATAATTTAGCACAAGGGGAACCGAATACAAAAGTGTGCAAGTTATGCTCCAGTCACACAGAGCACCGGAGAGACACATCTGAAGTATAGTGTAGAGTATCATGGGCCGAAGGGCCTGCTCCTGTACTGTACTGTTCCGGTATTGGTCACCTTAGGGGGAGGCAATGGCCTAGTGGTATTATTGCTGGACTGTTAATCCAGAGACCCAGGTAATGTTCTGGGGACCTGGGTTCGAATCCTGCCACAGCAGATTCTGGAATTTGAATTCAATAAATATCAGAATTAAGAAGCTAAATGATGACTGTGAATCCATTGCCGATTGTAGGGAAAAACCCATCTGGTTCACTAACGTCCTTTAGGGAAGAAAACTGCCATGCTTACCTGGTCTGGTCTACATGTGACTCCAGACCCACAGCAATGTGATTGACTCGTAACTGCCCTCTGGGCAATTAGGGATGGACAATAAATGCTGCCTAGCCAGCGACACCCTCATCCCATGAATGGAAAAAACCCTTATTTAAGGAAGGATGTAAAGACATTGAGAAAAGGTTGACTGGACTAATATCTGACACAGATGGGTTGTTTTGAGGAAAGTTTGCATCCACTGGAATTTACAAGCTCAAGAGAAAACTGAAGTGAAACATAAAAGATCCTGAGTGGTCTTGACAGGGGAGATGGGGGAAGAGGATCATAGAATACCTACAGTGTGGAAGCAGGCCATTTGGCCCATCAGGCCCATACCAACCCCTCTGAAGAGCAATCCACCCAGATTCAACCCCCAATCCCCACCGCCCTATCCCTGTAACCCTGCATTTCCCATTGCCAATCCACCAAACTACACATCCCTAGGCACTCTGGGTAATTTAGTATGGCCAATCCACCTAAAGTGCACACCTTTTGACTGTGGGAGGAAACTGGAGCACCCAGAGGAAACCCATGCAGATGCAGGAAGAATGTACAAACTCCACACAGACAGTTGCCAGAGGCTGGAATCGAACCCGGGCCCCTGGCACTGTGAGGCAGCAGTATTAACCACTGAATCACCCTGCCACCCCTTTGTTCTTATGTAGAATTGGGGTCATCCACTTAAAACAGATTAAGGCAAGGGAATACATGATGAATGGTAGGCCCTAGGAAATAGAAGAATCTTACATTTACACCATATAGAGTCATACAGCATGGAAACAGACCCTTTGGACCAACTGGTCCATGCCGAACATAATCTCAAACTAAACTAGTCCCACCTGCCTGCTCCTGGCCCATATCCCTCCAAACCTTTCCTGTTCATGTACTTATCCATAAGTCTTTTAAACGTTGTAACTGTGCCTTCTTCAGGAAGTTTATCCATATGCGAACTACCCTGAGTAAAAAAATTTGCCCCTCGTATTTTTTTTAAAAAATCTCTCTTCTCACCTTAATGTGCCCCCTTGT